AACTGCACTTGTCACCTAAAGCGCATTCACAGTGCAAATGTTTAATTGTCATATTTATCTAATTACCTCTGGGTCAAAGAGCACTGAAAGATTGCCCTGGGCTAGGTGAAGAAACCATTGCTGCATTGTGAAACCACCACTAATGACGGTGAGCGAAGGCGGCAAGGTACAGAGTGCAAGCACAAAGTTGTGCAACAGTCAGGTAGGGAAAGTACCAGACCATAAGCTATGAAATGAAGATGTCAAAAAGGCCTTGGCTGCTTTTCTCAGCATGTTGTGAGGAGAGTTTGAATTACTGCTTGATTTAAACTCTCTCTCTCACTCACACACACACACACACACACACAGAGAGAGAGAGAGAATTTGCAGGAGACCCTACTTCTAACTTTACACTGCATCCTTTCCTAACCCAATTCCATCTCCTGGATCTATCTTTTCCACTTGTGGCTCAGATGGATTCACTTGTTAGGAGTGCCCTTTACTAGTTACAGCTGGTACCCCAGCTGTGGCTGCTCTTGGACAGAGATGCTCCCAGGTTGGTGAAGGCTAGTGTACATCCTCTGATGTATGTACTTTATCATAGGTATGGGGGACCTCTGGCCCTCCAGATGTTGAATGGCTACAACATCCATGATCCCAGATCATTAGCTATGGTGGTTAGAGCTGACGGGAAGTGAACACCCTCTGCAGGACCACAGGCCTGCCTTGCTATTTATGATGACAATGTATCTTGCTTATTTAAATGAGAGGCATAACCAGGAAATGGCAATGGTGTCAAATGAGTGTGGCCAGGAGGAAGGGTGGGGCTACAAGTCAAAAACTTGACAGTACCTGCAATATTTCTTTTCTTATGCTACTGCTGTAATAGATGAAGAGGAAAGAGGAAAGAAGCTAACAGCTTTTCTTTTTCTTCTTCCTGTTCCGACAGACCTGTGAACTCAGCCTCTTTGGTAACTGCTGGAGCTAGCTTAGCTGGTTGATCAATGTGATTAACAATCTAAAGCCTTAGCTGAGTGTCTTTCCAGTTCATTGTTTGAGGTAGCTAACCAGCAGATATAATAATGTTGGGAAGTGGTGAGGGCTAAGGATTCATCAGCAGGATGGGAAGACTTGTAAGTTAAAGCAAGCCAGTAAAAAAATTAATATAAAGCATCTAATACGTTAAAAATAGATGTTGAATTCATTGTAATGACATTCATTAACATTTTAACATCATTTAAAAATATGCCAAGTGCCTGCCAGTCACCCACATGCCCTTTCCATTTATTGATTTGGAAAATAGAAACAAGTAGGAGCACTGCTGCCAACAATCCCCTCCCCCCCGGCATACACCTCCTGAAGTAAAACAATTAAAACATTTTTTCTTGTAAACGTTAGCTGAATATTCTAGGAAGGGGGTCCGCAATGTTACTGATGAGGCAAATCCTGCTTTTCCCACTACTTCATAGTTTGCATCAATGCTGTATGTGCCACATGCACTGATTAGTTGTAAAGAGGCAGGAGAAACTGCTGTTCCTAAATAAGAAGAGGGGAGGGTGCTAGGGATCTGGCAGGCCTAGACACAATGGAACAAACCTAAAATGCCAGTGGCCGAGTTTGGGCCACAAGGGGTAGGGCAGAAAGTCAGGCAGAATGCAGAGGGAGAGGGAGGGACAGAGGAAGATTACAGATACTGCCTTTTCCACTACCTCCCTAACTAGAAACAGAACTAGCTTATGTCTCCAACTATTAGGTACCAGTACCACCAGCTCCTCCTCTGACCTTGAGACAGGAGCAGATGCTCAAGGCTATGAATGATTAGGGTGATGCTGGAGCACTCAACCTGTGCCTGTTCTTCTCTGGAATGCAGCTTCAAGGACATCATTCCAGTAGATGCCTTTGTCCTCTTTTAACCTTTCACGGTCTTTTACCTGGTTGTTGGTCTGTCACTGTAAACAAGATTGAACTTTTGCCCACCTTGACAATCTTACTTTGGAGATTAAAACAAGAACGGTACTGGAAACATAAAATTCCCTGATCAAGATTGAGGCTTTCTGATACAACTGTGAGCAGCTAGAAGCTTTGTGCAAGATATCACATACAAACCTACCACAAACTAATATAAATATAGGAGAAATTTAGGTAGCAAGCAGGTTTTTTCACAGAACTCCCTGGTTGATAGAGAAAATCATTTGTAAGCATCCAAGCATATCCTGATAGTTCTTCTAAGCTCTTTTTATTCTCTGTGTATTTTGCTCTGACTGTCTCTTTAGGAAACCATCAGGTTATGTCATTATGTAATTGTCTACTATGCTTCCGTGCAATATACCTTTTGTGGTTAAAAAAAATTAAAATAGGGTTTTAAAAAGACTGTATTTCTTGAGATTTTGAATTCATGTTTTATGCTAGTATAATCCCTAGAATTTACAGAAATCAGGGGAGGGGATATGTCTCCTATGCATTGTTCTGACACATACCGGTAAACACGAGTAATCTATTATTTGCTTAAGTGCTGGGTGTGAGAACTTATGCATACGGAGCAATTGTAACATCAACATCAGAACAGCTTGCTTTCCTCATATTTTCCCTAGACACAAATACCAAAGAGATTTGGGAACAGTGAGGTGAGCTCAAACATATACCAAGCCCCCAGCAGCCAATTTTAAGAGAGTTTATTAAAAATTTGGCTTACGAAAGTAAAAGCACAAAGGCAGAATAACATACTGAAAAAATAAACATTTAAAATGCACCTACCCAATTACTTTACTCATGCAGGCTTATAGTCTGCTCATGAGCAACGTAGCATCTTCTTGGATGGCTGAGGAGGGACAAAGGGATGTTGGTGTCCCATTTTTAAGTGCTCTTTACCCAGGTGGCCTCCGACTGACAAGGGGCTCCAAGCAGCCAATCCCAGGAGCTGCACATAGCCCAGCTATTGGGCATATGAAGGATTAAGCAATGAAAGTGTTCATGGCAAGGAGATGGTGGCTATCAAAGTGTTTATTACTGCCACAGCAGTTCATTTTCTTTGTGAAACCACAAGTTTTCAGCAGCTTAACTATTATAATCCAAGGGAGGGGGGATGTGACCTCTCTGCCTAGGCATGATGAAGGACAAGAGAAACCAGGTATCCTTTAAAGGACAGGATACCACAGGGGAAAATGGTGTGAGAAAAATACAGAAAGACCTTCTCAAGTGCTCATGGTGATCTGGGAGCTCAGAGATCAGATTGGTTACCAAGGTTCTCAGGGCCCTTATGCATTAATTATGGTTGTGTAGTCTGCCCTGCCTGTATGAAAACAAGTTGTGTGTCATTTTTGTTCCCAAGCAAAGGCTGTGTAGGGTTGGTAAGTATTTTTAGATTCCCTTGAGCCACATATACTATGGTTCCCCAAACGAGCAGTCTGTTTCAACCCTCCTAAATTGTGAAAAAAGTGTCTTGAAAGGGGAACGTAAAGTTTATGTTCCCTTAAACCAGAGAAAATAAAGAACATGGAGAGGAGGCAAAGATAAAGGGCAGGAGAGATAGGGAAAGGAGGTTGAGGAAAACCCAAGGAGTGCATGTTAAGGTTCTGGAGGAAGGGAGAACTCCTAAATGTTCTGTTTTGTAGGCGAATGAAGGCATAGAAGAGCAACCATGATACTTTTGATTTCCTCCCAAAAGGTATTTGGGACTAAATCTTTTCACTGAGGTGAAAAGAGACTCTAGAACTGCATTGTCATAAGTTTCATGTGCAGATCCTGAATGTGAGGTCTTAACGTTGACTATTGCTTTCTGGGCCCAGTGCTTTATTCTCAGGATGACTGAACAAACAAATAAACAAATATACTTGTTGTACTTGTGTACAAATACACATATCTAGAGTCCTTACACCTCCATAGGTAATGAGGGTAAGCCCATCTCTAATGAAGATACCTCACAAACATCTGTGCTGACTTCCTCAGTTGTGCAGGCCCAGGTTCTTGCTTGGAACTGCCATAGGCAGAGAAAAGCTTTGAACAGCCGAATTGCTAATGGGTAAACTTAAAATGGCCAGTAGATAACAGCTAGCTTCTGAAAAGGAAGCTGCTGTGTGTTTTCCATTTGATATTGAAAACTGCAGGTAATTGAAGCTGAGAGCACTCCTTTGATTTCAAGGTCAATGTATTTTCAAACTGTACTTTTCAACTGGGTCCTGCATCAAAATCTTGTAGTCTGGAGTACTTGTGCTCAGGGCTGAATCCTCAAGTTCTTGGCTTCAGTATGTTAAGTGTCATTGAAACAAGGGTGACTCTGCTGAAGCCTTTTTTTTTTTTTTGGTTAAGTGCTTTGGAAGTACTTTTAAATAAATAAAAAACTGCACTTCTGACCGTGGGTGGGCTCTTGATTATTTATTGCTTAGATGTGCGTAGCTTTGGATGTAAAGTGGTATCGCTGAGGTGGGGGGAAATCAGATCCTAGTTCTCAATTCCTATTGCCATTGTTTTGCTTTTACAAGTTGCCCGTGCCTGCGCGAGTAGCGCTTTCAGCTGACGCGTCGTCGTTCCGGGACTGCTTTTTCAAATGAGCTTTTTGGGTGCTTTTTATTTCCCGATGGCGGTGGGCGGCTGCAGCTACCGAAGACCGCATAAAGCGCACGTAAAAGGTACGGGAGAGCTGCCTGGGGCAGCGCATAGCTTTGCATCACGCTTAGCCCCGCCCACCAGCTGAGCCCCAGGTGAGTCGCCGCTGCCGCACAGCTGCCAGGCTGGGTGGGAGGCGCAGAGGATCCTGGGAGTTGTAGTCAAAACCCTATGTTTCCTTTCCAGGCCTGGGTAACACTCCTGTCAGGACATCGCGACCGCAAAAACAGCTCGCCTCCCTTTCGTCTTTAATCAGCACCTACGCGCTCTTTCTCAACCCCTTCCTGACTGAGGTAAAAATAAAAACCTCCCTCCTTTGCAGGACCACAACTCCCGAAGCGAGCCTCCCTCACCACCGAGGGGAACCACATCCGTTTTCCCGCCTCCCGCCAGGCCCTCTGGGGCTTGTAGTCCCTCACCTTCGTATTCACGACGGCTTTCGGCGCTGTTTCCGCAGGGCGGGCTCTTCGCTTCTCGGTGAGTCGCTACGCTACGGAAGCGGCGTAAGGGGCCGGCTTCTGGACTCTGGGAGGAGGAGCGTGGGGGGGGGGCGGTTGTTATAGCTGGCTGCCTCCGCTTTGGGGCTGAGGGGGGTTAAAAAAAAAAAAGGAAAGAGAAAAAGGAAACGGTTTCCTGAGGAGGCGGGAGAGAGCCGGGCGGGGTGGGAGGCGGGAGGGTGGGGGTCAAAGTTACTCGGCCGCCCAAGGCGGGGTAGGTGGTAGTAGTGGCGGTGAGTAGTGCGGAGACGGGGCTGAGGAGAACGGGAGAGAAAGGAAACCGGTCAGCCTGCCGCCCAGCCAGCAAACAGTCGTTGAAGCCGCCGCCGCCGCCGGGGCGTCCCTCAGCAACGGTGAGTCTGAGCGCGCGACCCTCGCGGGGGGGGAGGGGGAGGGAGGGAGAGAACGCCAAAGAGCGCGCGACATAGAGTGAGTTGGGGGGGCAGAGAATGTGGGGGAAGGGAAGGCGCGCCCCCGGTGAGGGGGAGGCGCGCGTGCGCGTGCTGGAGGGGGGGGCGTGTGGTGGTGGGCTAGGTGAGTCGCCCCTTCCCTATTTTTTTTTTTAATGAGGAGAGAGATAGTCAAACACACACGAATAAAAATAAAAGCTTCCTCATTCCTTCTGCATAATAATCTCCCCAAGAGGGATATCCGCTTTCCCCCCTCAGCCCCACTTCTGTTCTTGGTTCATTCATTTATTTTGTTGTAAGCTGTATCTGTTGGGTTTTGTTCATTTTTATTATTACATTGCCATCCCCGCCTTTTTGTCAAGGAGCTGAAGGTGGCCTGCATGGTTCTAACCCACCCACCCCCTCAATTTTATCTTCACAACAACCCTGTGAGGTAGGCTAAGGCAGAGAGGTACTGACTGGCTCAAGGTCATGCAGCGAGCTTCATGGCAGAGTTGGGGGGTGGGGGCGGTGGCATTTGAAGCCTGTTCTCCCATGTCATAGTCTATATAATGCTATTAACTGCTTCGTTGCACTGGCTGAACAGTATTTGTGGACCACCCCATCATGTAACATGTTTTGTCATAATTGGCATGCGGTAATTATAAAAAAAACGAATGTCAGGCATGCACTGTGAAATGAAAAGCAACATGGGTAACAGCAAAGATAAAGCCTGTCACACCCCCAAAATTAAAACACCAGTTTAGAAGCCGAAGGTGCTCAAATGAGCCCTAATGTTGGGGAACGCTGTATGAATTTCAAATACAAAACAAAAATAATGGAACTAATGTTCTGGGTCTGTTTAGTCCCTGGATTGGAGACTGCCTGGAAAGCCACATGTATGCCGCCTTGGGTTTTATGATAGAAGAAAGACAGGATATAAATGGAAGAAAATGAATAAATAGCTCACAGCAGAGGGCACACCACCACCACTGAGGTTGAGACTGAATGTGAGCACACACCCCTTTTGGCCCAGAGGCTGCTGCTGCTTCTCTGTTTGCTTTGCTTGTTTTAATATTTATATCCTGCCTCTTAAAACTAATCATCATCAACATCATCATCAAATTTGAGGTGGAGAAAGGCTCACAAGATTTTTTCTTTTGCTTTTAAAATGCAATGCTAACAATAAAAAGCAGACAAATAGTTAAAACGTCATCATGAAAACCACAAGAACAAGTGCAGACACAAACATTGTTGTAAAAACTATTTCAGAATTCACAGATGAAAAACATAACATTGGAAGTTACGTATTAAAAAACCGTCTGATCAAATTAAAACTTACTAAGAGGTTTGGGTCAGAAGAATTTCTCTTGGGAGGTTGTTCCATAGTTAGGGACCACTTTGGAGATGACGGTTTTGTCCAGGAGTCAAGGGCCTCTCAACAGACTCCCTTAACTGGTTGAGGGTGCCTGAGGAAGCATTTTTGGGTTTGATCTGAGAGGCTGTCCCAGAGCCTTGGAGAGCAAGCATTAACTTATCGAGGGACCGGTCCCCTTCCTAGTCCCATTCTGATGTGCACCTAGTTCTCAGTTCTTCTCTGCTACAATGCAGTGTGCATCATATCTCCCACTGCTTCCAACCTTTCGGGGTATTCCTCATCAAGGGAGGGATGTCCTTCCCCAGGTCTTCTGTATGTTGCTTGTGGAGTGCCTGGGAAGTTTTGAGATGGTGCGAGACTTTCTCGCCCTCCTGTCCACCTTTCCAGACAACCATGGGAGTGCAATGGTGAGGGGACTCCTAACTAGCGATGCGCTTTGGCGCATGCCTGACCTCAGCTACTCAGTGTTATTAGTGATATACAGTTGCACTTTGTATCTAGTTTTTAAGAAATGTTATTGAATGTTCTTGCATTATTGTTAATCTTCAAGTAAACAATTTAGAGACTTTTATATTAAGCAGTGTAATTTTATATAAATAAAAATCCTGTTTGAACTAGTCATATCTTGGAGAGATTCTCCCCTCTTTGCTGCCCTCTTTGACTCAAACACTAACCCCTGGATAACAGTTTGAAGCATAGAAGGTGGTTTCTTTAAAAATGCTGTGTGGCGTCACAATAATGAAAATGAGTTTTACTTTCTCCTCCCTACCCCCATTGAGCTTATCCATGTTGGAGTTCCTGTACTGTTATAGGGGCACAAAACATGAGATCGATGGACAAAAAGTCAGAGGGGGAAGTGGTTCCTGTAGAATTTCTTATGCATTATATATGTGAGTAATGCTGAGTAGAGTGTGGTTTTCTAGGAAAATATGAATGTATGTCAATCTTTAATTTTTTTAAAAAGATGTTGCCCTAGAACATTGGGAAATCAACATGTTTTAATCACCCAAATAAGCCTTGGAATAAAAAGCACTTGGAAGCAGTAAGATGCAAACATATCTAAATATGCACTTGGTTGTCTAGGATGTCTGTGAATGTCTTTGTGTAAAGTGTTCTCAGTGATTTGGTTTTTTTATGCCTATCCTTTTGAAAACTCTTGGAGTTGATGACTGTATATATTTGTTTTCAAAACATCTTATAAATTAGAAGGCAGGCACTTTTGAGGGTTGCAGTGAATCCTTGCTCTACTCTTTAATGAATTTTATTAATTGTACCACAACAGTGTTAATCATAGTTTCTTCTGAAGAACTGTGCATTTCTCAAACAGGAGAAATCCTGCTTTGAGGCAAGGGAGTGTTGCTGGCACCAATAAGACAGGGAAACAGATGCACTGGATTGAAGTAGTGTTTTGGTCTAAGGTCAAACAGTGACTCAGTGGCAGAGCCAGAAGTGCAATATAAGATTCTTGGTCCCCTGTCCTTGTGCTGGACAGGGGACAATGTCTCTGGTTGAATGAATGAAGTTTAGGTTTCTGGTCTGGAATCCGCAGTTGGTAGAAATGCCTTGTTATCCCTGACCTGTTGTCTTTTATGCCTGAATTTTAGTGGGTGGGTGATATGCTGATTTCTAATGCCAGTTTTAGTATTCTCACATGCTACCTCAGTACAACAATCAGTGTTAGAAACTCAGATATATAATCTAATCAGCAAATTGCACCTTGAGCCTAGGTTACGGTCGCCACAATGGCATACCTAGGCGCTGTTTGTTCCATTAGTGGGGTTTGTTATTGTTGTTTTCATTTCTATACCACTTTGTATTTTAAAGAATGAATATCAAAGTGGTTAAAACATCTAACAAAACAATCTAGAATAAAAAAAAAATCAAGCTTCAAGGAAAATCTTTCTCTCTGTATCGTTCCAATTTTAGTATATGTGCTGCCGAAGCGAGCACCAAGGAAAATCTTTCAGATCATTCTCTAAGTGACATTTTGCTTTCCCCAGTCGCCAACCCGGTATCCAGAGACCTCCACGTAGTCGCAATTGGATCTGCACCAGTCACAAAACACACCTGGCTATTTTCTAACACTGACAACAATCTGTATTTAAATAAATTCTGGTTTGCCTTGGTTGTTCCTACAGCTAGTATTGCAGAATATTGTTCAGATATGTGGTAATGGTGCATTATGAGAAGTTTGTTGGGTAGGCTTTTTGCAGGGGGGTTCAAGGTTGTGATCAGTGTAAATCTTCAATATATTTCACTGAATACTTATGCATCCCTACATACAAAGCTGCTTTAGTGTGCTGTGTAAACTGAGGCACTGTGTTTGTTCAGTTGCGTGTTTTCTCAAAATGCATTTTTTTTCTGGCTTTCCAGTAGTGAAAAGGAACAGTGAATGTCTACGTCATGAAGAAAATATGCAGGTAGCCATAAATGGCGCATGGTGGGTAGTGGGGTGGAAATCCAAAAGCACCAGTGATTACATAGTTCAAGATGAGTTCTGCTGAACTTGAGCCAAAGTTACATAGTGGACAGCATTCAACTGCTGACTCTTGAGTTCATATCACTGCTCTTTGACGATGCTCAACTGTGTCTCCTTAAGCATAATCACTGTTTTTGAGCTTTGCTTACTTCACAGAATTGTTGTTAGGGCAAAAAGGGATAAATATATGTGACTTGTCCTGAGCTCTTACGAGGAAGTGCAGGATACAAATGTGATTAATGGATGTATCGATACCATGAAACCTAGTGTTTAGTCTGACGTGTCTGTTCTCTTCTAAATAAAAACAAACATTACAAGAGCCCTGCAGCAGTGAGGCGGTGCCCATGTGTTGTTGTGGCGTCATCCTGATTTGTGGTGGTGCTCACATAGTGTCAGCATAGTTATGGGTGTAGTGAATGCTGCATCTTGGGCATTATAGTGGAGTACCGTGCTTCCTCTTTGTCCTCCATTTCTCTTGCTTTGGAAATTAAAAACCTGGCCCTTTAGCATTTATTGATTGTGCGTCTGGTTGTAGCATATACAGTACTGTATAACGGGTTTTGCTTTGTGAGAATTTTGTTTTGTTTTGTTTCTTAAAAATGACTTGAAATCTTTGATTCTGTCTTAGTTTCTTTTCTGACACTTCTACTCATAGTACACCTGGATATTTTTCTATAGAATTGTAGAGTTGGAAGGGAGCATGAAGGTCTTCACCTCTTTTTGGCTTGTTGTTTTGTTTTGGACAAAGTCTACCCTGTTTCTCTCCAATTCTGGGCTAGTGGTTTAATCGCCAGCATAGCCTGATTTCTTGTTGAATTATATAGGAAGAATGTTTTCAATG